TAGGATACTCTGAATATCCTGAGTAATGTTTAGGATACTCTGAATATCGTGAGTGATGTTTAGGATACTCTGAATATCCTGAGTAATGTTTAGGATACTCTGAATATCGTGAGTGATGTTTAGGATACTCTGAATATCGTGAGTAATGTTTAGGATACTCTGAATATCCTGAGTAATGTTTAGGATACTCTGAATATCGTGAGTAATGTTTAGGATACTCTGAATATCGTGAGTAATGTTTAGGATACTCTAAATATCCTGAGTAATGTTTAGGATACTCTGAATATCGTGAGTGATGTTTAGGATACTCTGAATATCGTGAGTAATGTTTAGGATACTCTGAATATCGTGAGTAATGTTTAGGATACTCTGAATATCGTGAGTAATGTTTAGGATACTCTGAATATCGTGAGTAATGTTTAGGATACTCTGAATATCGTGAGTAATGTTTAGGATACTCTGAATATCCTGAGTAATGTTTAGGATACTCTGAATATCCTGAGTAATGTTTAGGATACTCTGAATATCGTGAGTGATGTTTAGGATACTCTGAATATCGTGAGTAATGTTTAGAATACTCTGAATATCGTGAGTAATGTTTAGGATACTCTGAATATCGTGAGTAATGTTTAGAATACTCTGAATATCGTGAGTAATGTTTAGGATACTCTGAATATCGTGAGTGATGTTTAGGATACTCTGAATATCGTGAGTGATGTTTAGGATACTCTGAATATCGTGAGTGATGTTTAGGATACTCTGAATATCCTGAGTAATGTTTAGGATACTCTGAATATCGTGAGTGATGTTTAGGATACTCTGAATATCCTGAGTAATGTTTAGGATACTCTGAATATCGTGAGTGATGTTTAGGATACTCTGAATATCGTGAGTGATGTTTAGGATACTCTGAATATCGTGAGTGATGTTTAGGATACTCTGAATATCGTGAGTGATGTTTAGGATACTCTGAATATCCTGAGTAATGTTTAGGATACTCTGAATATCGTGAGTGATGTTTAGGATACTCTGAATATCGTGAGTAATGTTTAGGATACTCTGAATATCCTGAGTAATGTTTAGGATACTCTGAATATCGTGAGTAATGTTTAGGATACTCTGAATATCGTGAGTAATGTTTAGGATACTCTAAATATCCTGAGTAATGTTTAGGATACTCTGAATATCGTGAGTGATGTTTAGGATACTCTGAATATCGTGAGTAATGTTTAGGATACTCTGAATATCGTGAGTAATGTTTAGGATACTCTAAATATCCTGAGTAATGTTTAGGATACTCTGAATATCCTGAGTGATGTTTAGGATACTCTGAATATCCTGAGTGATGTTTAGGATACTCTGAATATCCTGAGTGATGTTTAGGATACTCTGAATATCGTGAGTGATGTTTAGGATACTCTGAATATCCTGAGTGATGTTTAGGATACTCTGAATATCGTGAGTGATGTTTAGGATACTCTGAATATCGTGAGTAATGTTTAGGATACTCTGAATATCGTGAGTAATGTTTAGGATACTCTAAATATCCTGAGTAATGTTTAGGATACTCTGAATATCGTGAGTGATGTTTAGGATACTCTGAATATCGTGAGTAATGTTTAGGATACTCTGAATATCGTGAGTAATGTTTAGGATACTCTAAATATCCTGAGTAATGTTTAGGATACTCTGAATATCCTGAGTGATGTTTAGGATACTCTGAATATCCTGAGTGATGTTTAGGATACTCTGAATATCCTGAGTGATGTTTAGGATACTCTGAATATCCTGAGTGATGTTTAGGATACTCTGAATATCGTGAGTGATGTTTAGGATACTCTGAATATCGTGAGTGATGTTTAGGATACTCTGAATATCCTGAGTGATGTTTAGGATACTCTGAATATCCTGAGTAATGTTTAGGATACTCTGAATATCGTGAGTGATGTTTAGGATACTCTGAATATCGTGAGTGATGTTTAGGATACTCTGAATATCCTGAGTGATGTTTAGGATACTCTGAATATCCTGAGTAATGTTTAGGATACTCTGAATATCGTGAGTAATGTTTAGAATACTCTGAATATCGTGAGTAATGTTTAGGATACTCTGAATATCCTGAGTAATGTTTAGGATACTCTGAATATCGTGAGTGATGTTTAGGATACTCTGAATATCCTGAGTAATGTTTAGGATACTCTGAATATCCTGAGTAATGTTTAGGATACTCTGAATATCGTGAGTAATGTTTAGGATACTCTGAATATCCTGAGTAATGTTTAGGATACTCTGAATATCGTGAGTAATGTTTAGAATACTCTGAATATCGTGAGTAATGTTTAGGATACTCTGAATATCCTGAGTAATGTTTAGGATACTCTGAATATCGTGAGTGATGTTTAGAATACTCTGAATATCGTGAGTGATGTTTAGGATACTCTGAATATCGTGAGTGATGTTTAGGATACTCTGAATATCGTGAGTGATGTTTCAGATACTCTGAATATCCTGAGTGATGTTTAGAATACTCTGAATATCGTGAGTGATGTTTAGGATACTCTGAATATCCTGAGTGATGTTTAGGATACTCTGAATATTGTAACACAAGATGTTTGTAACACTAAATTATTGTAAAGTATCCGAGTAACACTTCCTCTTGGATGCACTTGGTGTAACACTTTGTAATACTGCTAAACTATACACTTGATCACTAACTCTGATAACCCTTGACTGAATTAACCATGGCACTTCTCCAAGAAAAATGCTGACAACTTATTAACTATACGGAGGGTACAGGAGCAGACGACTGCTGACTCCTGTTAGCAGGCTGAGAGCTTTCCCTTCCCATAGCTCATGGTAAGCCTTACCCTACTAGTTTTACACACAGGATGGTACAGGAGCAGACGACTGCTGACTCCTGTTAGCTGGCTGAGAGCTTTCCCTTCCCATAGTTCATGGTAAGCCTTACCCTACTAGTTTTACACAGGAGGGTACAGGAGCAGACGACTGCTGACTCCTGTTAGCAGGCTGAGGGCTTTCCCTTCCCATAGCGCATGGTAAGCCTTACCCTACTAGTTTTACACAGGAGGGTACAGGAGCAGACGACTGCTGACTCCTGTTAGCAGGCTGAGAGCTTTCCCTTCCCATAGTTCATGGTAAGCCTTACCCTACTAGTTTTACACACAGGAGGGTACAGGAGCAGACGACTGCTGACTCCTGTTAGCTGGCTGAGAGCTTTCCCTTCCCATAGCTCATGGTAAGCCTTACCCTACTAGTTTTACACAGGAGGGTACAGGAGCAGACGACTGCTGACTCCTGTTAGCTGGCTGAGAGCTTTCCCTTCCCATAGTTCATGGTAAGCCTTACCCTACTAGTTTTACACAGGAGGCTACAGGAGCAGACGACTGCTGACTCCTGTTAGCAGGCTGAGAGCTTTCCCTTCCCATAGTTCATGGTAAGCCTTACCCTACTAGTTTTACACAGGAGGGTACAGGAGCAGACGACTGCTGACTCCTGTTAGCAGGCTGAGGGCTTTCCCTTCCCATAGTTCATGGTAAGCCTTACCCTACTAGTTTTACACAGGAGGGTACAGGAGCAGACGACTGCTGACTCCTGTTAGCAGGCTGAGGGCTTTCCCTTCCCATAGTTCATGGTAAGCCTTACCCTACTAGTTTTACACAGGAGGGTACAGGAGCAGACGACTGCTGACTCCTGTTAGCTGGCTGAGAGCTTTCCCTTCCGTTCACGGTAAGCCTTACCCTACTAGTTTCTTCTGAAATACGACCCACCAGTAGTTTCATCAACCAGGTACTCAGTCACTGCTGGATGAATAGCTAAGGATTGGTGCCTAGTCAATCTTCCCCATAACTTCCTATAGCGTGGAGCCCTCTCTACACCCTGTAGCCTCCTCCATCAGTGTGCCCGCCAGGATCTTTGAGACAAGATGTATATATATGTATCTACGTATCTATGTGTGTGTATGCACATATCCGAGGCGCGGCTAGAGCTGACAGGCACATAGGTGTACCTGTCAGAGGTACAATAGACTTGGTGACAGGTACAAGCCTTGTCATATGTCAGCCCTGTCATAATGCAGCGGACCCCACTTGGTCTCTGTCCATTAACCACGTGACCCCAGCGGACCCCAGTGATCTGTGACCCCAGCGGACCCAAATTCCTATAGGGCTTCAGCTCCTGGACCCTGAATTTTTCAATGATTGTTTTTTGTAATTCTACATCAAAGCTCCGCTACAAATAGTTATAACAATCTCCCATGACAATCTCTCCCATGTAACAATCCTGATTGTGGTGGCTAGCCTACCCCATGAACCTGGGGTTCTGGGGACTAGTACTTGGACGGGATATGAGGACAAGGAGCTGGGATATGAGGACAAGGAGCTGGGATATGAGGACAAGGAGCTGGGATATGAGGACAAGGAGCTGGGATATGAGGACAAGGAGCTGGGATATGAGGACAAGGAGCTGGGATATGAGGACAAGGAGCTGGGATATGAGGACAATGAGCTGGGATATAAGGACCAGGAGCTGGGATATAAGGACAATGAGCTGGGATATGAGGACAAGGAGTTGGGATATGAGGACAAGGAGCTGGGATATGAGGACAAGGAGCTGGGATATGAGGACAAGGAGCTGGGATATGAGGACAAGGAGCTGGGATATGAGGACAAGGAGCTGGGATATGAGGACAAGGAGCTGGGATATGAGGACAAGGAGCTGGGATATGAGGACAAGGTGCTGGGATATGAGGACAAGGAGCTGGGATATGAGGACAAGGAGCTGGGATATGAGGACAAGCTGCTGGGATATGAGGACCAGGAGCTGGGATATAAGGACAAGGAGCTGGGGTATAAGAAAGGAGTGAGAGAACAACCGCTCAAGCACTCGGGTCACCGAGGATCGAACCCCGACCATAAAAGAAGCTAGACCCCTCCCCCACACTACCCTTGCTAGCAGGTTGCTCATCTCTTCCTCACTTCCAGGGCTGCCGGAGAGTACGTGTTAGGGTCGCGGGAGAACCTGGTGGCCAGGGTGCGGGTCCACAACTCAGGAGAGGACGCCTTCCTGGCTAAGGTGGTTGTGAAGGTGCCACGGGGAGCCACCTTCAGCAGGTTCCTCCTCACTGAGGACACCTCAGACGACCTCACCCCCATCTGTTCCTCCACCACCAAGGCTGGCGTCGAGGAGGTTAGTATTGTGTGTCTTTTATTATTTTTATTTTCTACCACAGACGTAGCCGGACATTTACAATGCTAACCAGCATATGTACATTTTCTTCTGTCCTCCATGGACAGGGTGAGAGATGTGTTAAACATATAGTTCAGGGGTTTATTGAACACTCAACCACAGTTGGTGGTTGTGGTGCTTTTAAAATCCTAAGCTAACCTACAGACATAAATACATAGATACATAGAGTTATGTCTGTCCTACATAAAGTGGTCCATGTGTTCTTTACATAGTGTTGTTAATGTGCATTTACAAAGGTGAAATGTAATTCTGATCAGTTTCTACAAATACTTTATACACATACATATACATGCATATATATACATATATACATACACTTGTACACATACACACACATACATACATACATACACATACATTTATGTCTCTCCTACTCTGACAGGGTGAGATAGCTGATAAACTGGTGTGTTATTAAGCACTTAATCACTGAAGGTGATTAAGGTGCTTTTACAAGCTCAGGTTATATAGTTACATCACATACATACATTGTATAATTGATACATAGTAGTTACAGAGTTCAGCATACCTTAGCCCAGGAGGGCGAAAGTCAGTCAATATGGGACATTCTACAATATAATGTTCAAGAGAGTGCATGTTTTCTCTTTCACAAAGTTGACACATTGTGTACTCGACATTTGGGTTTTGAGAAAGCTGCCAGATACGTCTATACCCAGATACGTCTGGGTATAGGGCCTGTACCCGGGCCCTTTCTGGGCCTGTACCCGGGCCCTTTCTGGGCCTGTACCCGGGCCCTTTCTGGGCCTGTACCCGGGCCATTTCTGGGCCTGTACCCGGGCCCTTTCTGGGCCTGTACCCGGGCCCTTTCTGGGCCTGTACCCGGGCCCCTTCTGGGCCTGTACCCGGGCCATTTCTGGGCCTGTACCCGGGCCCTTTCTGGGCCTGTACCCGGGCCCTTTCTGGGCCTGTACCCGGGCCCCTTCTGGGCCTGTACCCGGGCCCCTTCTGGGCCTGTACCCGGGCCCCTTCTGGGCCTGTACCCGGGCCCCTTCTGGGCCTGTACCCGGGCCCCTTCTGGGCCTGTACCCGGGCCCCTTCTGGGCCTGTACCCGGGCCCTTTCTGGGCCTGTACCCGGGCCCTTTCTGGGCCTGTACCCGGGCCCGTTCTGGCCTGTACCCGGGCCCCTTCTGGGCCTGTACCCGGGCCCCTTCTGGGCCTGTACCTGGGCCCCTTCTGGGCCTGTACCCGGGCCCTTTCTGGGCCTGTACCCGGGCCCTTTCTGGGCCTGTACCCGGGCCCTTTCTGGGCCTGTACCCGGGCCCCTTCTGGGCCTGTACCCGAGCCCCTTCTGAGCCTGTACCCGGGCCCCTTCTGGGCCTGTACCCGGGCCCCTTCTGAGCCTGTACCCGGGCCCCTTCTGAGCCTGTACCCGGGCCCTTTCTGGGCCTGTACCCGGGCCCCTTCTGGGCCTGTACCCGGGCCCTTTCTGGGCCTGTACCCGGGCCCCTTCTGGGCCTGTACCCGGGCCCTTTCTGGGCCTGTACCCGGGCCCTTTCTGGGCCTGTACCCGGGCTCATTCTGGGGCTGTACCCGGGCCCTTTCTGGGCCTGTACCCGGGCACTTTCTGGGCCTGTACCCGGGCCCTTTCTGGGCCTGTACCCGGGCCCTTTCTGGGCCTGTACCCGGGCCCATTCTGGGCCTGTACCCAGGCCCTTTCTGGGCCTGTACCCGGCCCTTTCTGGGCCTGTACCCGGGCCCCTTCTGGGCCTGTACCCGGGCCCCTTCTGGGCCTGTACCCGGGCCCCTTCTGGGCCTGTACCCGGGCCCTTTCTGGGCCTGTACCCGGGCCCTTTCTGGGCCTGTACCCGGGCCCTTTCTGGGCCTGTACCCGGACCCCTTCTGGGCCTGTACCCGGGCCCCTATAGTATAGACGTATCTGGCAGCTTTCTATATCCCAGGCGTATTCTGGCCACTATAACATCACATTGCCGGGTTCTTGTTCTATTAGTCCCATATGTGAATGTCTCCTCACGATATCTATCAGTGCCACGGGCTGCTGGGAGTGCCACAGAGTGACCATGAGTGACCTCTCCACAGGTAATATGTGACCTGGGGAACCCGCTGCCCTCAGGGGCGGGCGTAGGGCTCCAGCTGGTGTTCCAGCCCACTCCCCTCCTCCTCAACCACACCAGTCTTGACTTCCACCTGCGGGCGTCCTCTGCCAACCCCGAGGACCCCGCCCACGCCCACGACAACCACGTCGCCCTCGCCCTCCCCGTCACCCTCAGGAGTGACATCAACATCAAGGGGTGAGTCTTGGAGTCAAGGGTGAGCGGTGAGAAGTGAAGTTTTTGAGGAGATTGTTAGGTTTCGGGTTAGTTGTGGGGTTAAGTGTGGGGGGAGAGCTGGAATAGATGTTAACATCTCCCGTCTCCGCAGCATTTCCTTCCCGGACGAACCATTCGACTACAACGCGTCGCAGTACGGCGTCGGGCTGGTCGGGGAGGGAGGTCGGGTCACCCACGAGCGTCAAGTGGGACCTGAAGTGATGCACGTCTACGACCTCACCAACCGCGGACCGTCCGACCTGCCGGCAGCCCATATCTTCCTGCTGTGGCCGACACGGACGCTGGCCTACGATCCCCTACTATACCTGCTGGACCCGCCCTCCGTCTCCGCTCCTGCCCGCTGTCAACCATTCCACGATGTCAACTACCTCGGCCTCCAGGTGGGTTGTGTATAGTCACCCAAGTGTAGTTATAGGATGAGAGTTATACTCGTGGTGTCCCGTCTTCCCAGTATTTTTTGTCGTATAAAACTACTGAAGGTTTTGGCCTCCACCACCTTCTCGCTTAGCTTGCTCCAACCGTCTACTACTCTGCAAAAAAACGTTTTCCGACATTTTTTTTTCGTCATCGTTGTTTCCTTAGCTTGAATCTGTGTCCTTTTGTTCTTGAGGTTACTGGTTACAGGAATTCCTCTTTGCAAATTTTGTTGATTCCTTTTATTATTTTGTAAGTGGTGATCATATCACCTCAGCTTCTAGCCTTGGCATATTTAATGCCTGGAGCCGCTCTCCATAACTCTTGTTTTTTTTAGTTTCGGAAGCCATTTTGTAGCATGCCATTGCACCTTTTCCAGTTTGTGCTTCTTGAGACTTGGGCACCATACAACTGCTACGTAATCTAATTTTGGTCTCACAAAAGTCCTGAACAGTTTCTTTGTTATTTTGACCATCTGGAATACTAATTGAAGTGGAATGCTCAGCTCAGTTGCACATTTTCTTAACACTCAAAGTGAAATGCCATCTGGTACATCTGCTTTATTTCTTCCTAGCTCCTTGAGTTGTTTTTCACTTCATCTCGAGACACCTCTATGTACTCTATGGTGTTCTCTAGAATTGACATTGTGTTTTGTTCTTTGAAAACCTCATTTTTTGCTCAAACACACGTTTGGCTAAGAACCAAACGAATGCTAGAGGCGTTCATTTAGTGTTTCACACATTTCTTTTTCATTCTCAGTGAATCTGTTCCCCGTTCTCAATCTCTGGATTTTATCCTTTACATGCAGCTTGCTTTTAATGAATTTATAGGAAAATGTCTGGATCTGTTTTACATTTGCCTGCTATACCTTTCTCAAAGTTAACCATCATGTGTGTTACTCTATTACCATAAAGAATACTTGATAACACCCCCTCCCCACACTTGCCTGCCCCCGGCCCCCACACTCGCCTGGCCCCCACACTCGCCTGTCCCCTCCCCTATACTTACCTGGCCCCCACACTGCCTGGCCCCACATCTACTTGACACCCCCCACTCATCTGGCGTCACTGTTGGCCCCTGCAGGTTGAAGATGCCTCGTCTCGTCTCCAGCACCTGGTGGGCACTTCTGCAGGAGATGACCGTCCACACCGACGCCCAGAACACACTGACGAAGTCCTTAACGACCAACCGGTTGACGGAGAGTCGTCCAACCAACTCCACCGACACCGTCGCCACAGCCGTCACCACCACCACCCCCTGCAGGAAGAAAGAGGTCGACGGAGTGGCCGGAGGAGCGAGCGGGAAAGCCTGCAGAAGGAGTTATCGTGTGGCCCCACCAACTGTACCAGAGTGGTGTGTTCCATCGCTCCCTTGAGAGCGTCGGACAGCATAGTGGTGCGAGTTAGATCAAGACTATGGGTCGATACTATCCAAAAGGTAGGCAACTATACCTCCCCTCAACTTTTTATACTATCCAGATGGTGAACAATCAGTCCTCCTCCCCTCCAACTGCTTCTATACTATTCAGATGGTAATCATCTCTTCCTGTGGCAAAGTTGACATGTATGCCGCCACGCCACAGCTTTATGAGGCATGTCATGATGCCAACTACCGGAGAACAGTGGTGTTGGGGGTCACTTGGGTCAAGGGGTATCCTAATACTGAAGGGTATGGACGTGCCCCAGATCACTCTTGGACTAGCAATCAGTGTGTCAGTGTCGTGGTTTAGGAAAGTTTTCAGTAGATGGTATAAACACACATACTACGTAGTTCAATGAATAACAGTTACCGGAATGCTAAGTGGGCTACACAAGGAAGTCACACTAACATGATATTTCAATGAGAAACTCCGCTGGAGTGTATACAACTCCATTACCTATGCCAGAGTGCTAGGGGGGGGGGGTTATGTGTGGAATCTGGACTGGCTTCAGTAGGCCAGATTTCACACATAATCATAAATCTCCAGAAGTCCTGTGGATTCACTGGCATTTCAGGTTGTATAAGTTTTACCATGTCATGGACCAGAGGTAAGGTGCACGGCTTGCAGGTTGAGGGTTCGAATCCCCTCATTGCTGTAGTTGATTTTCTAGGATGGGTTGTTACGGTAGCTGTCACTAGGAGGCGAGCGCGTGCTGTTATTGACCCATTCCATGGTTGGGAGAGATGAATAGTTAGTGACCTCTCACACGTCACGAGGGGAAGGTTAGTGACCTCTCACACGTCACGAGGGGAAGGTTAGTGACCTCTCACACGTCACGAGGGGAAGGTTAGTGACCTCTCACACGTCACGAGGGGAAGGTTAGTGACCTCTCACACGTCACGAGGGGAAGGTTAGTGACCTCTCACACGTCACGAGGGGAAGGTTAGTGACCTCTCACACGTCACGAGGGGAAGGTTAGTGACCTCTCACACGTCACGAGGGAAGGTTAGTGACCTCTCACACGTCACGAGGGGAAGGTTAGTGACCTCTCACACGTCACGAGGGGAAGGTTAGTGACCTCTCACACGTCACGAGGGGAAGGTTAGTGACCTCTCACACGTCACGAGGGGAAGGTTAGTGACCTCTCACACGTCACGAGGGGAAGGTTAGTGACCTCTCACACGTCACGAGGGGAAGGTTAGTGACCTCTCACACGTCACGAGGGGAAGGTTAGTGACCTCTCACACGTCACGAGGGGAAGGTTAGTGACCTCTCACACGTCACGAGGGGAAGGTTAGTGACCTCTCACACGTCACGAGGGGAAGGTTAGTGACCTCTCACACGTCACGAGGGGAAGGTTAGTGACCTCTCACACGTCACGAGGGGAAGGTTAGTGACCTCTCACACGTCACGAGGGGAAGGTTAGTGACCTCTCACACGTCACGAGGGGAAGGTTAGTGACCTCTCACACGTCACGAGGGGAAGGTTAGTGACCTCTCACACGTCACGAGGGGAAGGTTAGTGACCTCTCACACGTCACGAGGGGAAGGTTAGTGACCTCTCACACGTCACGAGGGGAAGGTTAGTGACCTCTCACACGTCACGAGGGGAAGGTTAGTGACCTCTCACACGTCACGAGGGGAAGGTTAGTGACCTCTCACACGTCACGAGGGGAAGGTTAGTGACCTCTCACACGTCACGAGGGAAGGTTAGTGACCTCTCACACGTCACGAGGGGAAGGTTAGTGACCTCTCACACGTCACGAGGGGAAGGTTAGTGACCTCTCACACGTCACGAGGGGAAGGTTAGTGACCTCTCACACGTCACGAGGGGAAGGTTAGTGACCTCTCACACGTCACGAGGGGAAGGTTAGTGACCTCTCACACGTCACGAGGGGAAGGTTAGTGACCTCTCACACGTCACGAGGGGAAGGTTAGTGACCTCTCACACGTCACGAGGGGAAGGTTAGTGACCTCTCACACGTCACGAGGGGAAGGTTAGTGACCTCTCACACGTCACGAGGGGAAGGTTAGTGACCTCTCACACGTCACGAGGGGAAGGTTAGTGACCTCTCACACGTCACGAGGGGAAGGTTAGTGACCTCTCACACGTCACGAGGGGAAGGTTAGTGACCTCTTACACGTCACGAGGGGAAGGTTAGTGACGTCTCACACGTCATGAGGGGAAGGTTAGCGACCTCTGAGGAAAGTTGTTTACATTAGGTAGATGAGTAAGTGTACAAGGTGAGGTAATTATTAGGGGAAAGCACCAAGCCATTCCGACTATATAGTACTGGGAAGGGGTCAGGATAAAGATTTGGGATGGGACGGGTGGAAGGAATGGTGCCCCAACCACTCGGACGACCAGTGGATGAAGTGACTAATGTATATGAAGTTTACCTTCTAGGGTATTCCTGTGCACCTGCCTTTATCAGTGTTTAACGCGCGTTTGGGATCATTCATCGGAAGAGGACTCGTTATTCACCATGTGCGAATAATGAATAATAAACGGATGTGTGTTTACTATTTGTGCCTACACAATCGAGCTATTAGCTCTTGGACTCCGCCTTTTTAACCACTCTGTGAGTTGACCAGACCACACACTAGAAGGTGAAGGGACGACGACGTTTCGGTCCGTCCTGGACCATTCTCAAGTCGATTGAGAATCCAGGACGGACCGAAACGTCGTCGTCCCTTTACCTTCTAGTGTGTGGTCTGGTCAACATACTTCAGCCACGTTATTGTGACTCCTCGCCTGCACTCCATGAATTAATTTTTCATTTATTTTAAATTGAAAATGGTTTTATTACAGGTCGGGATGCCAGAGGTGAAGATCTCGTCACGGCTGGTGGTGGTGGCGGCTCCCGAGGGCGGTGACCCCGGAGACTGGTGGCTGCAGGGGGACGCTGGCGACGGGGAGTCTCCTGAAGGAGAAGGCAGCGGAGGGGGCGTGGAGAGGAGCGTGTGGTCCAGGACGGTGACCACGGTGGTGAGGACGGGACCAGAGGAACATCGTAGCTCTCTCAAGTGGTTGGTGGTCGTCGGCAGCATCCTCGCTGGGCTCCTCCTGTTGGCTCTCCTCAGTTTGTTGCTGTGGGCGGTGAGTGTGTGTTGTGTTTGTTGCTGTGGGCGGTGAGTGTGTGGTGGTGTGTTGCTGTGGGCGGTGAGTGTGTTGGTGGTGTGTTGCTGTGGGCGGTGAGTGTGTTGGTGGTGTGTTGCTGTGGGCGGTGAGTGTGTGTTGTGTTTGTTTGTTGCTGTGGGCGGTGAGTGTGTGTTGTGTTTGTTGCTGTGGGCGGTGAGTGTGTTGGTGGTGTGTTGCTGTGGGCGGTGAGTGTGTGTTGTGTTTGTTGCTGTGGGCGGTGAGTGTGTGGGTGGTGTGTTGCTGTGGGCGGTGAGTGTGTTGGTGGTGTGTTGCTGTGGGCGGTGAGTGTGTGTGTGGTGTGTTGCTGTGGGCGGTGAGTGTGTGTTGTGTTTGTTGCTGTGGGCGGTGAGTGTGTGTGTGGTGTGTTGCTGTGGGCGGTGAGTGTGTGTGTGGTGTGTTGCTGTGGGCGGTGAGTGTGTGTGTGGTGTGTTGCTGTGGACGGTGAGTGTGTGTTGTGTTTGTTGTTGTGTTGTGTTGCGTTGTGAGTGTGTGTGTGTGTGTGTGTTGCTGTGGGCGGTGAGTGTGTGTGGGGTGTGTTGCTGTGGGCGGTGAGTGTGTGTGTGGTGTGTTGCTGTGGGCGGTGAGTGTGTGTGTGGTGTGTTGCTGTGGGCGGTGAGTGTGTGTTGTGTTTGTTGTTGTGGGCGGTGAGTGTGTGTGGTGTGTTGCTGTGGGCGGTGAGTGTGTGTGTGGTGTGTTGCTGTGGGCGGTGAGTGTGTGTGTGGTGTGTTGCTGTGGGCGGTGAGTGTGTGTGTGGTGTGTTGCTGTGGGCGGTGAGTGTGTGTTGTGTTTGTTGCTGTGGGCGGTGAGTGTGTGTGGTGTGTTGCTGTGGGCGGTGAGTGTGTGTGTGGTGTGTTGCTGTGGGCGGTGAGTGTGTGTGTGGTGTGTTGCTGTGGGCGGTGAGTGTGTGTGTGGTGTGTTGCTGTGGGCGGTGAGTGTGTGTTGTGTTTGTTGCTGGGGCGGTGAGTGTGTGTGGGCGGTGAGTGTGTGTGGTGTGTTGCTGTGGGCGGTGAGTGTGTGTGTGTGGTGTGTTGCTGTGGGCGGTGAGTGTGTGTGGAGTGTTGCTGTGGGCGGTGAGTGTGTTGGTGGTGTGTTGCTGTGGGCGGTGAGTGTGTGTTGTGTTTGTTGCTGTGGGCGGTGAGTGTGTGTGGAGTGTTGCTGTGGGCGGTGAGTGTGTGTGTGGTGTGTTGCTGTGGGCGGTGAGTGTGTTGGTGGTGTGTTGGTGTGCAATGACTGCAATTGTGTGGAACGTTGTGAGTTTGCATCTGGTGGTCAGCTCAGCAAAAGTTCTTGTTATCCAACCAGTCATTTTCTTACAATTGTGTTCTCTAAAGGTTAAGGTCTTCCGACATTATTCCTCCCAAATCCTTTACATTGGTCTTTCGTTCTATAGTGTGATTTGACTCTGTTTTATATGTGGTTTCCGTTTTTATATATTTTATATTTTCCGTAGTACAGGAGCTAGAATTAATTTTCATTAAAGATATTTTTTCTGTGGCATATTGAAAGGTCTGATTTACAGCAGATTGGAGGTTTGCTGTGTCCTCTATGTTGTCTACTCTCATGAAAATCCTGGTGCCATCAGTACTATAGTTTGTGTCCTTGTCTATGTCCGATATGAGAGAGTACTGGAACAAGCACAGTACCCTGGAGGACTGAACATTGGAGCAAGCACAGTACCCTGGAGGACTGATCTTTTCACGGTGGATAATCCGGATTTTACTGTGTTGACTTTTACACTCTCGGTTGTTAGAAAATTGAAGATTTTCAAATCTTGATTTTCATCTTGTTTTCGCAGTAATTTATTTTGAACGCGTTTTGTGCGCAATATTCATGGTCACATTTGTCGAAAGCTGTTGCAAAGTCAGTGTATATTACATCTGCGTTTTGCTGGTCTTCCATGACACCTGAGGCCATGTCATGGTGATCTAGTAACTGTGAGAGACAGGAGCGCCCTGCTGTCAACCCGTGTTGTCCAGGGTCTTGTAGACCTGTGATTTCATGTGTGTTGTGATCTGACTTCTTAGCACTCTTTCATAGATTTTTATTTTAGAGTTGCTGGTCTATAATTTTTTCCCTTGTGTTATGTTCCCTCCTTTATGGAGTGGTGTTATCTCCACTGGTGTCAGTATGTCGGGGACAATACCAGTATCTAAGATCTGTCTCTAAAAATATGTTGAGGGGCCTATGATAGTTTTTTTTTTAATTCTTGATGAATCTGGAGTTGCAGGAATGAGGGCCTGGGTGCAAAGTGCACCGCATATTGTCAATGGCCACTTCAAAGTCCAGTATAGTTAAGGTGGGATCTTATATGTGATTTGATGTGATCTTCATCACATGAAGAATTCGTTTGAGTTATCATACTGTAGCCTCAGCCTCAGTTCCGCAATTTGTTTTCTTCACTTGTAAAGGGAAGACTGTTCCTGTTAGTGTCTCTGTCTCCCTATACTCTCTCTCTCTCTCTCTCTCTCTCTCTCTCTCTCTCTCTCTCTCTCTCTCTCTCTCTCTCTCTCTCTCTCTCTCTCTCTCTCTCTCTGGGGGTATGTGGCTTAAGCATATTTCTGGATACTTAGGCTACTGAACCTATTTTATTTTTTTCGAGGCATTGATTTAGGTTCGCATTTTCTTGCTCTTCTTCCCAGTTTATTTCTGTGAGGTCTTCGTTTATTAGTTCCCAGTTGATCGATTGGTTACTAAAATTGAATTTGCTGAATTCTCATCCACTAGAGTTTGGGCAACTCGTTCTCGCACCTGCTTATAGTCAATATCTTGCTTATGAATAAGTGCATATGTGACATACTAATTTATTGTGAATATTTGAGTTTACCTTGAAAAGCTGAATAGAAAACCACAACCTAACCTAACCTTCTTAGTATGTTAAGATACTACAATTAGTACTGAACCTTTACCTATATTGATATTACAGTTTTATACAAATAATAAAACAAAACTAAAATATTTAAATAAATTGTAAAGTAACTCAGGATATTGTCAAATTTTGTATAAAATCTCTATTGTTTAATAAAACTGAGAGAAAAAGTTAGTACCTTGAGAAAAAATATGGCTTGGACTATGTCACATATGTACTTATTTATAAGCAAAATAGTGACTGTAAGCAATAAGTCATATATGTGCTGTCTTGTGCAAGAGCGGGTTGCGTTTGGGACTGGTAGCAAAGGTCTATAGGCCATGTTTTGATTAGGTTTTGGCCCTCAATCCAGAGTTGACTTTGTTCTGGCATAATTTTTGTTGCCTGAGCGTTGGACTTTCTTTAAAGCAGCTGTGTCCTTCTGACGGATTATTCAGAGACTCTCCACACGACGCCCCTCGTGATAGCAAGGCCTGCTGGCACTGTGAGTCCCACAGCAGAGATCCAACATGACAGGACTAAGGCCATAATTAAAGATTCTCGAGCCGTTCACTCTGATAATGTTCACTCTTAAATTCACGAGCTGATCTGCCGTATTATAATGCACAACAATGTTCACTAGTAAGTCAGCTGTGGGAAGCTTCCTCTCACAGTTGGGGCTGTGGTGTTGGTGGTGTGATGGTGCTGCTGTGATAAAGGTCTTGGTGCACTGGTGTATTAGTCACGTGTATGTTGTATATATATGTATAATTACCAAACTGACAATTCACCATCAATCTTTCAATAGTTCGAAAGTATATATATATATATATATATATATATATATATATATATATATATATATATATATATATATATATATATATATATATATATATATATATGTGTGCATCTTTACCCGACAGATGGGCTTCTTCAAGAGACGACGACCCCAAGATAAGACGGAAACTGAGCCCCTTAACACCAACGGCTTCTACGGCAACGGCAACTCCTGAGCTCTCCTACTTCGACACCTGGAGCTGACGACACCACCAGAGAAGACGCCTGTAGGTGGCGTTGTGAGGCGAGGGGGAGAGACTGACGCTAGGGCTTAGGGCGGAGAACCTCCCCCTGCCACCCTTACCTCTGGAGTCTCATCTTGGGGAGGACCCTGAAGGAAGAGTTTAAGGGGTATAACTCCCTGACACTCTTGACTCGTCTCATGGATGTGGTTTTCAGAATTGTTCTAGAGGTTAACTAGGGTTCAGCGAGGCTCCGTGAACATTAACGAGTCACAGAGAGTCTTGGAGACTCTGCAACACGGGAGAATTTCAAGGAATAGTGAGCAATAAATAACAAGAAAATTGAGCTCTCTCTTGTGGCTAAAATATGGATAGAATTGTAATTGTTATGTTATGAAACATGTGAACTGGGATTGTGTCTCCGTGGTGATTGGTGCCTCGGGAACCTGGAGGTGTCACTAGGGGGCGTGTTGACCTTGAGTGACCCGAGCACATGAGTGACAAGGAGTAACTTGACTGGTGTGAGTGACAGTGTTAGCCAGGTGACACAAGTTGACCAGCAAACTTAAACAAAGGGTAATTTAACACTGATTATGAATGTTAATTGTTAATTTTAAACTATATATATATGGATGTTAATTGGATGTTGTGAAATATGTAAATAAAACACATATATATATGTAAAACACGCATACAGTAAATATTTGTTTTGTTCTGAAGAGCACATTTATAGGTGTGTAGTGACGACCAATTGGCATCATTTTGTGATCTAAATTGTAGGTGTCTTTTCAGTGACTCTCTCAGCTGTTATCGTAAGTCCTAACATGGACTTCCGTAGTGCCTCTCTCTCAGCTGTTGTCGTAAGTCCTAACATGGACTTCCGTAGTGCCTCTCTCTCAGCTGTTGTCGTAAGTCCTAACATGGGCTTCCGTAGTGCCTCTCTCTCAGCTGTGGTCGTAAGTCCTAACATGGACTTTCGTAGTGACTCAGAGTTTTATAAGTCTCTCAAGATTTTAAGACCTTTTGAGTACTGCCTTAACTTTACAAGTGCTCTGGATTTTATAAGTGCAGTTAGGACTCACAAATCTAAGTACTTTTATTGTACTTAAATTAGATGTGTATTATGTTATACACAAGAGTGTGTATGCTGGTGTGTATTATGTTTGTGTAGATGTGTATTATGATAGTGTGTATGCTGGTGTCCAACAGCATAAGTGTTTAGAATCATTTTAATTGACTTAAGTCGTATATGATATATTTGTTTCCATGTGACAAGTGCCTCACAGCGTCCGGGTGAGGTCCTGAGTGCCTCAAGCCACCAGCTCTCACCAGTGTTGGTGTCAATATGCGTCTGGTTGAAAATAGTTAACCAATGAAATGGGGAACAAATCGCAAATAAACGACTGCAGCAGTGTAAGGGTTAAACATGATTTATAACTGAATATAATTCAACTT